ACTCCCATATACAGACTCCCATATACATACTCCTATATACAGACTCCTATACACAGACTCCCATATACAGACTCCTATATACACATACTCCTATATACAGACTCCTATATACAGACTCCTATATACAGCGTTCTGTACTATAGTCATACTCTTCTATTAGAACAGTCGATCAGAACAGTTGATTCTAACAGTCGATTATTGCCGTCTATTGCAGTACACATCATGCCAGAAAGGACAACAAGGACAGGCAGCCTCTCTCATGCAGCAATAAGAGGGCAAGCAGCCTCTGTGTCCATAGGCCAAAGTTGTGGTCGTTTTGTCATGGACATTGATGGACGTCGTGATTGACGCTGGATTGCGTCGGAGGATCTATTTTTGGGGGGGGGGGGGGGGTTAAATATTAAAGACTTGTCAAAAACATCTTTTGTTTTTTTCTCAAAATAAAGAATTTTATCAAAAGTCTGGACTTTTGAATAACTATTTTATGTAACCATTTAGTGATTGAGGACAATAACTCCTTAGTCATTCACAAGAGAGGGGGGTGGGGGTTTCATTAAAGGGGTACCCCGGTGCAAATAAGCCCCCTTGCCCGCAGACCCCCACAAACATGGGGTCAGGGTTGGGGGGAAGAGGCCCTTCTCCCTATCGGCACAGGGACACCCTCCCAGTGCCGAGGGCATGTGGCCTGGTGTAGACCCCCATACATGTCCCCCAGGGCCGTACCCGGACCCAGACCCCCATACATGTCCCCCAGGGCAGTACCCAGGCCCCATACACTTTTTATGGCCAATAATTTGCATATAAGCCCTCTTAAAAGTAGTAGAACTATGAGACGAGTGATTTTCACTCATCCTCTAAGTTCTAGCTGACCTGTGACAATTAAACTGTCACAGGTCGGCTCAAATAGATCGGGAAGTGAGAGAACACATATCGTCTCTCGCTCACTTCTCGATCCTGTCCCTGCAGAGAGCCGTGACTGTCACTCAAGGCTCGCTGTAGGGATTCCCCCTCCCCGGTCCGATCCTCCTGGGCTGACTGGCGGAATGGACGGGGGAGGGGGCAGGTACAGCTGGCTCTGCTTCTAGATAGGCAGAGCCAGCTGTCAATCACGCAGCTGGGTGGATTTTGACAGTATTGTCAGGATCCGCTCAGGCTGCGGCGTCTCAGTATACCGCGAGCTGTAGCCCCCTATATACTGAGCATTGGGTGACGGGAGGACGCTAGTTTGTGTCCTCCCGTTACCTTTGGAGAACTATAGGGGAAAAGCCCTGACCCCATAGTTCTTCTTTAAAGGAGACAATCATTTCCGAACGTTTGAGCCCCTTTGACTTGCATTGAGTTTGTATTCAACATTATCGGCCTTTCGAATGTTAAAATACGAACCGACCTCCGGGGTGTTCGGCCCATCACTACACTAAAACTGAAGTTGAATTGTGAATCCTCTGGTGTCTGATAAGCTTTGAGCTCATTTTAAAAGCTTTTTCAAAAATTAGAACATTGAAATGGCTTCTCTCCAGTGGGAACCGTCTGCTTAGTTGTAACTTCAATCTAAAAGCTTTGTTACATTCAGATCACTAATATGGCTTCTCTCCAGTGTGATCCCTCTGGTGTGCAATAAGTTGTGTTTTTGTTTTAAAAGCTTTGCCACATTCAGAACATTCATATGGCCTCTCTTCAGTGTGAATCATCTGGTGTCCATTAAGATGTGTTTTTGTTTTAAAAGCTTTGCCACATTCAGAACATTCATATGGCCTCTCTCCAGTGTGAACCCTCTGGTGTGCAATAAGATGTGTTTTTGTTTTAAAAGCTTTGTCACATTCAGAACATTCATATGGCCTCTCTCTAGTGTGATCCCTCTGGTGTGCGATTAGTTTTGTCTTCTCTCTAAAAGCTTTGCCACATTCAGAACATTCATATGGCTTCTCTCCAGTGTGAATCCTCTGGTGTGCGATTAGTATTGTCTTCTCTCCAAAAGTTTTGCCACATTCAGAACATTCATATGGCCTCTCTCCAGTGTGAATCCTCTGGTGTACAATAAGATGTGTTTTTGTTTTAAAAGCTTTGCCACATTCAGAACATTCATATGGCCTCTCTCCAGTGTGAGTCCTCTGGTGTACAATAATATGTGCTTTTCTTTTAAAAACTTTGCCACATTCAGAACATTCATATGGCTTATCTCCACTATGAAGCCTCTGGTGTACATGAAGTTGTGTTTTCCATACAAAACATTTGTCACATTCAGAACACTGATACGGCTTCTCTCCAGTGTGAACCTTCTGGTGTACAATAAGATGTCCTTTTTTTTTAAAAGCTTTGTCACATTCAGAACACTGATGCGGCCTCTCTCCAGTGTGAATCATCTGGTGTACAATAAGTTGTGTTTTTGTTTTAAAAGCTTTGTCACATTCAAAACACTGATACGGCCTCTCTCCAGTGTGAACCCTCTCGTGTGAAATAAGATGTGACTTCCATATAAAAGCTTTATCACATTCAGAACACTGATATGGCTTCTCTGCATTGAGAACCGTCTGATGTCTGATGAGCTTTGCCTCCATTGTAAAACCTTTGTCAGATTCCAAACAAGAATTGGCCTCTGAAATTACTTCTCTTGTGTTCAGGGGTTTGACGTCACTGTAAAGTCACTGCGACTTATAGAACACTGAAATTACTTCTCTTGTCCTCTGATGTTGGATCAATGCTGCGGAATATCCAAAACCTTTATGACCTGTGTCCTGTGTGATATGTCTTGTGTCCTGTGTGATATGACCTGTGTCCTGTGTGATATGTCTTGTGTCCTGTGTGATATGATCTGTGTCCTGTGTGATATGACCTGTGTCCTGCGTGATATGTCCAGTGTGATATGTCTTGTGTCCTGTGTGATATGACCTGTGTCCTGTGTGATATGTCTTGTGTGATATGACCTGTGTCCTGTGTCCTGTGTGATATGACCTGTGTGATATGTCTTGTGTTCTGTGTGATATGTCTTGTGTCCTGTGTGATATGTCTTGTGTCCTGTGTGAATCTTCCAGTGAACTGTAGAAAACCCTTCTAGTCACTTAGATCACGTATATGGCTTGTCTCCGATATGACTCAATTCTGCTTATGAAGACCAACTTCACCGAAATCCCGGGTCATCAATAAACCTGTACAGAGAGATAAAATCAATCAATCACCAGAACTCTATACATTTGGCTAATTTAAAGTTATATTATATTTTTCTAATATATTTTCTATACAGAAAGAATATGTACTGTACATGGATACATGTATGTATTTCCAGCTTGTAGGATAGCTTGAGGAATCTCAGACGTGTGTGTTAATCGCTTGGCTGCTGCACAGCCCTCAGAGTGCACCAGATTGTATGTAAGATTTGTATCTGTGTGTGTTCTGCTATTGATTGCACCCAGAGCTGCCATCAGAAACTTTGGGGCCCATTACACAGCTTTAGCCCTGGGCCCCCTGCCCCCCCCCCCAACCAACACACCATAGACCTGTCCACTGGCTGTTCCACTGAGTCCACCCACTGACCCTCCCACCAAGTCCATGCACTGGCTTTCCCACCGGGTGCTTCAGTGGACCCACTTTTATTACTAACACTCTTACAACTTAATATATAAAATTGAAAACATGAGTTTGGTACCTGGTAACTTTTTCCTTTGTTGTTGTTTCTTGGGCAGGGGAAAACCCTTTTTTCTGTCTGCAGACCTGTCCAACACAGTCTCCAATTCTTGACCAAAAAGCAGATCCCCTTTAAAGGGCAATCCACATAGCTTCGACTTGGAGGCTGCGTCACCAGTCCACATCTGTAGCCTTAACGCCCTTCTGAACGAGTTTATCAAGGCCCTAGTTCTCGCAGAGTATCTAACGGCCTCTGCAGAAGCATCAGCTATGTAGGACATGGCCTTGCTCAGGAAAGGGAGGGAATCAAAGATTTGTTCCCTCTCAGTACCTCCTTCCAATTGTGACCGCAGTTGCGCAAGCCAGATGTCCAAGGTTCTGGCCACACACGATGGCGAGGCCAGGCTTGAACCCAGCGTTGGCCACCTCCCAACCTTTCCTGAGCAAAAATTCCACCCTTTTGTCCATGGGGTCTTTCAGCACCCCCATATCCTCAAAAGACAAATCCGACTGTTTTGATAGATAGTGACGCGTCCAATTTCGGACATTTGTCCCAAATTGCCGCGTCCTCCTCAGCAAAGGGGGATCGGCGTTTAAGACTGGATGAAAAGAATATCCTCTTTTCTCTGTGTTCCCATTCAGATTGAATCATATCCTGCAGGGATTTGTGTACCGGAAGCCCCTTGTACATTTTATCATGCACCGAAAGCTCGGTCATTTCTTCCTTCAAACCTAAGGTATCCCAAATGGCCTTTAGCAACTCTCCGGTCTCAAAGGAAGGAAACAGGTATTTGGTCCTCTTTGGTTCATCAAAATCTACCTCCAAGTCTTCCTCAGACTGATCATCTGGCCTCTGTGGGGAATCAGAACAATCACTGGGTGCCTCTCCACTGGCTACACTGCCAGTGTAGACACTCGAGCAACCCTCACCTGAGGGACCTAGATTGCTTTGCACCCCAAAATAGGCCCTGTGCTCTGAATGACAGACCGGAAAGACTGAAATGTAGAGACCATTTCCTCCCTCATGGTATCCATAAGGCCCTTAAACATCCCAGCTGACTCTTTGGATTCCAGCTTCTCTACACATCCTTGGCACAAGGGCATTGACCAAGAGGGCGACAGCTTGAGGTTGCAAGAGGCGCATCTTCTAACTTTGGGCGAGAAGTACCCAGATAGCGAGCAATTGAGCTGCACGTTTGAAAATGACTTGCTAAACTATTGTAGACAGACAATTTTGTTGCACAATTACAGCAAGTCTGCGTTGCAAGTCTCCAGATCAACGCTGCTGCCAACACCGCCATGACCCCCTCCATCTGCTCCTTAAATCACTAAGCATGCAAACCATCTTGGAACGCACGCCCAGTTCCTTGATTCGCAACCGGAAGTGACCCCTGTGACATCACTTCCACCTGGACCCTGCCACTATTGCCCCAGAAGACCAGCACCTGGCTGAATCAAATGCCTCCCTATGCCCCAGCGGCCCTCGCACGACCCTCCAGATGTGGTAAGTCCCCTTTCAGGGGGATAAACTCCCCCTGAACAGCCACCTCAGTATGCGGAAGTCAGTGAGACCCGGACCCCCTTCCATGGGGGGCCCAGGTCAATCAGGATCCACAGGCCTCCAGCATGGGAAAAGAGGAACAAGGCACATAGGGGCACACGGAGTCAGTGCAGTGGGAGCCGATTGGGAGGGGGGCACCCCTTACGGGTGTAGGACAATAACACATGTTATTTTGAGACACACACAGGGGGATCGCCATCTGGAGTCACTCACGCCTTGAAGGATGGTTGCCAAGCCTTCAATTGTGGAAGGAAACCTTTTTATCGGGTGGGGGGGTTTTTTTTTGGTCTGGTCTGGAAGCCCAGCTATGCCAATCTCCAGGATCCACTGTCCCTGGTTCTGAGACCGCATCACATGGGAGGCCCCTGCAACTTGCATCATGGCCTGAAGTAAAACAATAAACGTTGCAATGTTTCTCCTGTTATGCCGATGGAAACACACAAAAACTGACGTGTTTGTAGGAGTGTCTTTTTATCTAATGTGGATGATGCGTTTCCTGTTTCAGGCGGGCGGAGCCCTCTCTCATTGGCTGTCCTGGAAGTTGACTGGGGAACAGTGTATTCCAAGTCATCTGGGATAAGCAACGCACTGGACCAAGGGATAAGCAACGCACTGGACCAAGGGATAAGCAACGCACTGGACCAAGGGATAAGCAACGCACTGGACTCTGGGATAAGCAATGCACTGAACCCACCAGAGACACACAGAGCCCACTATAGATCCTGCACAGCCCATCTGAGACTCTCTATGGTGGGCACTGCAGGGTCTCAGGTGGGCTGGTCGGGGTCCCTTTCCCTGCACCTCTCCACAGCTCCTGTTACTTTCTGCTGCTGCTGGTGGGGCCCGGCCTCTCCCGCCAACGGACCGGCGCTGCAGTGGCCCAGTGTTCTGTTGAAAACTCCAACTCCTGGTATGTGAATAGGGAAATGCAGCCGGTGGCGCCCACGCAGTGGAGCCTACTCAGCCAAACCTCTTACTTGCAAGTAAACCGAAAGTGAGGTCATTGGTGATCTCCAGGCGTTGGAGTTTTCGACAGAACACCTGCCTCCTCCACCACCAGACCAGCGCTGCTGGGGCCTGGCCTCCTCCACCACCTCCTCCCCTGTCACCTCTGCCCCTGGTATGCCCGATACCCATGTTAAGAGGCAGGGCCCCCCAGGCTGCCCGGGCCCAACACATGGGTATCGACCATACCTGATCTGATGGCGGCCCTGATTGCACCTACCTGCATTGGGCTGCAACCTTGCCACAGAGTGAGTCCACCAATGAGAGAACACTAGGAGTGTCTATACCTCTTCAGAAAAATCACTGGGGGTTTCATGGCCAGTAGTATAGGGTCACCATTTGTCCCCGATTTCCAGGGACAGTTCCCGGATTGAGGAGCCCATCCCCGGAAATGTCCCCGGGAATATAAAATTAAACAAAATAACAAATTTGTATACCACCGACAAGCCTCGGCTGCCTAATCGATCAGGAGGAGGAGGCAGAGGTGAGGAGGAGCAGCAGCAGGAGGGGGCGGGTCTGGATCCCCGTTGGGGAGCGGGTCCGGATCTCTGTTGAGGGGCGGGTCCAGATTCCAGTCGAGTTAGTCGGGCATGTGGGGTCTATGATGGGATCTATAGTGGGCTTTGCAGGGTCTCAGGGGTGCTTTGCAGGACCTGTGGTGGGCTCTGCAGGGTCTCAGGGGTGCTTTTTTGCAGGTCCTATGGTGGGCTCCGCAAGATCTATGGTGGGCTCCACAGGGTCTCAGGGGGTCTGTGCAGGATCTGTGGTGGGCTCTGCAGCCTTTGCCAGTTACTATTTAAACCAGTGCACGCTGTATGCAGCTGCTGAGAAGATACGCTATTAGTGGGGAAGCCGGGAGATTGTCAGAAGCTAAAAGAAATTCCCGAATATCATTTTAAAAATCTGATCACCTTGCAGTAGTGCATGCTGGGGAAGTGCAGAAATACTCAGGAATTGCCTTGTTCTGAGGGCAGTCCCCGGGCTTAGCCTGGGGGTATGATGTACACAGTTGGAGAAGCTGACTTGGCCTTAGGCCTGGAGGAGGCCAGATGTGGACCCAGGAGGGGTCTGGAACTATCTGGGAAGGAGAAGAGGAGGAGCCCTATGATTTCTGGAGGTGCCATGAAGGTCAGGATGGCATGGACCTCAGGAACAAGTGTGGTGTCTCTCCCGGGGAAGATCTCATGCTTATCCTCCATGCAGCTGTGGATCTGCTGCACAGTGTCATCTTCTGCTCTACTAAGGTGTTGTAATAGATCCAGGATACGTACCTCTCTGGCGTCTCGGACCCGGAGGGTGACTCCGCCCACTGGGTCTGGAGTCTATGTTTGATATGGATGTCTGAAGCCCTCTACCCTCTTTCCCAGTTCTGTTTGTTCTACAATAAAGCTTCTAAAAGTC